GGTTGGTTGGTTTGCATCATATCTTTATAACAGATCACAAGTAACGTCTTTCCATGGAGAACAGTCTGATTGTAAAAGAATCAAGGGAGGCGTTCCACAAAGGAGTAAGTTGGGTCCTATTGCGTTTATAATAAAAATAAACCAATTACCAACGTCTATTATACCCAATAACCAAGATCAAATATGTAATGCCGTAGAAGACCAGGACGTAGCGATGTTTATGGATGACACAACATTATCGGAAGTAATCAATGTCAGTGACCATTTAGGTGGCATCCCAATCAGTAATACTCAAATGAACGTAGACAAGGTGGTACAGTTTGCAAAGGACGAAGGAATGGAACTAAACTATAAAAAGTGTATGGAGATGATTATTGACTTTAGGAAAAATATAACCTCTATACCCCCAATTTATGTTGGTGGTCATAATGTTTCTCGAACGAAGTCATATAAGTTACTGGGAATATGGCTAGATTGCGATCTTAAATGGAAAACTAATACGGAATATATTACAAAGAAAGCGGCCAAGCGTCTGTATTTATTAAAGATCTTGAAGAGTTATGGTGCCCCCATGGATGATTTGTTAGCATTTTACTGTTCGGTAATTCGTCCTGTTTTAGAATATGGTGCGGAGATTTGGAACGGAGATCTAACCCAAGAGCAGAAAAAGAGCATTGAACGAATTCAAAAACGAGTACTTAGAATAATTTACCCAAACCTAGACTACGACCAAGCAATAACTGAGACAAAATTACAAACTTTGGAACAACGTAGGGACGAATTATGTGTATCTCTAATTAAAAAAATGCTGGAACCAAACCATAAACTTCATAGCCTCTTACCAAAGAAACTAAAATACATTAGGCAAAAAGAAACAAGAACTAACAGTCAGAAATTATATAATTCCCCCTCTAAAACCGAACGTTTTAAACACAGTCCTTTAGTTTACTGTATATACTTATATAATTCTAGATTAGTTGATTAGGATCATCATTTTTAAAATTTTATCAGTCAATGTACAAATAGGTATACATTAGTAGTTTTTATACATATTGTAAATAGGTATAGATTAGTAAAACTTTAATTTTAATGAATGACATGTAAATATATAATATATATATATATATATACCTTTTTATACCCAAATTTGTAAACACATTGTAAATTAGCGTAACTACTACTAAATGTGTTAATAAACCGTTACCATTACCATTACCACCATTGTTCATGACGCTCAGTCCAGTGCCACGCAACATCTTTCTTGAGGAGTTCGCGTAGAGGTGCCGTTACTTCTGAGACATGTGGTGCGAACTTCGCCACATAGTTCACCATTCCGAGCAAACGTTGAATTCCATGCTTGTCTTCTGGAACTGGCATCTCCGTGATCGCTTTTAACTTAGATGCGTCTGGCTTGACTCCATTTCCGGTAAGTACATGCCCATGCAATATACAAAACTTCGGTGCGTCTGATCTGACACTTGTCAGGATTTAGCTTAAGATTACTTTGTCTTGCTCTCTGCAAAACTTTCTCCAACCTTTCGTCGTGCTCTTCTATCGTAGTGCCCCATACCAGGATGTCGTCGATGTCAGTCTCAACACCGCCAAGATCTTGGAAAAGCTCACCTATCCTCTTGTGGAATACTTCCTGGGCGCTATGAATGCCGAAAGGCATACGTGTATAACGATATCTTCCGAAAGGTGTTCCGAAAGTTGTAAGATATGAACTCTCTTCGTCCAAAGGAATTTGCCAAAATCCCGATCTTGCGTCAAGAGTAGAGAAATACTTCGCTCCACTCAGTCTTGTAGTAATCTCTTCTATCGTAGGTATAGATGGTAATGTTCTCGCTTGATTGCTTTATTAAGGGGCGCGGGTCTATACAAATTCGCAATTTGTCAGTATTTTTCTTTTCCACGACGACCATCGCATTTACCCAGTCGGTCGGTTGATCCACTGCCACGATTATACCCTGGTTGCACATTTCATCTAGCGCGTACTTGACTCGATCCTCCAAACCAAACGGAATTCGTCTTGGGGGGACTATAACTGGTTGCACTGCAGAATTCAGCTCGATGTGATAAGGCCGCTCTAAACATCCGATTCCTGAGAAAACATCCTGATATTCCGTTTTGACTCTCTTCGCAAACGCTTCGGTTCCTTCTTCTTTATGCTCTATGACGGTGACAAATTCTATAAGCCCAAGTTTCTTGCATGCGGAAATACTGAGAACTGGTTCACTCTCGATGCTCGTGATATAGAATTCCAAATTATGAATTGTCCCTTTGTATTGACATTGTAACGTGCAGACAGCTTCGACCGGGATATTTCCTCCATTATAGGCACTCAAACAGGCTTTCGGCTTTCTAAACTTTATCTTTCAAGTTGTCGCAACTTGCTTGAAAGTTGAGTATGGTATCACGTTTACCTCAGCTCCCGTATCCAGCTTTAATCGAATGTCGTGATTGTTCAATGACAGTGTTACATGTTCAGTTTCAGATTGTCGAATCCGGTCGACAGATTCAACTTTGACCGTCTCTAGAAACAGATATTCGTCACTTTTCTCTTGTCGACACGAGTCTACGCTTTTGCTTGAACGGCACATTCTTGCATAATGGTTCATCTTTTTGCATTTATTACATTGTTTACCATAAGCTAAACATTGTCCCTTTGGATGGATTAGACCACAACTACCACAGGCATTACGCTTGTGTTCATGTTTCCCTTCAGTAGCTTTCTTTACTTCTTGTGTTTTGTCTGACTTGCTTTTGTTCTGAACACGGTTCACTCCCCCGTGTTTTACTTGATTTACATGATTCGCTTCACTGCCAAACAACTTCATTTGTTGTCTTGATAACTCATCTGCTCTGCAAATCTCGACAGCTTTGTTCAATTTCAACTCTGATTCTCTCAAAAGTCGTTCTCGAACAACTCTCGAAGATATGCCGCTTACAATTCGACTACATATAAGATCGTCTTTTAAGTCTCCGCACTTACACGACGCCGCTAAAGTTTTTAGTTCTGTTACATATTGATCTACCGACTCGCCGGTGTTTTGATCTCTTGTGAGGAAACGATGCCGTTCAACAACGAGATTCTTCTTGGGTTTACAATGTGCTTCGAATTTGTCGAAAAGGATTGCTGTGGTGATCACTTGTTGTCCATTTTCACGAGTTTCAAATTCGAACGTATCTTTAATTTCCTGCCCGTCTTTACCAATCATACACATGAAAATTGCGACTTTCTGTGGCTCGGTTTTTCCGGTGCATGTCGCTATCAAGTAATACTCCATGCTACGTCTCCAGCGTCTCCATGTCTCTGCTAGATTTTGTGGGCTGGTGAAATCCATTTCACCGGGTCCTCTTATTTCATTCATTTTGAACGTTATAAAGTCTACCTGACACCATGTAATATATCGAGATAAAAGTGTGTTTTAATCTATTACTCGTTCACTTAAATAGACAATGATTAATTTACATAACTATAGCCTATAGAATATTACAGAATAATTTGAATATACTACACAGAGTACCCTGAAAAAACCTGGGGTGTTTAGTAGAATATACCTGGAAGCACTCTTCTCACAGAGGCGAACTGATTATAATCAGACAACTGTATATTGCAGAAATCGAAGCCAGGTTAAAACACTTTGCCGGCAAAACGTTTAGGTATCTCACTAAGGTACCTCGCTAATCCTAGACCTCTCTTTAAAGTACGCACCTTGTCAGCCTTAACTTGCGCCAACAAAGCTTCGACTTCTTTGTCACGTTCGTTTAACTTGAACAATAGATTCTAAACAAGAAAGCGAGATGGCAAGTCAGTTCTTGAAACGCCCGAAATTTCAGGTCAGCAAGAAATTGCCGATCTAAAAGTGATAATTCTCAATCTAGGTCGGCAAATATTTTCAAAACAAATAGAAAATATCCAAATGAAAATTTAATTTGCTTGCTGCAAATATGTGTATTTATAAACAGCAATCAATGCCAATAGCAAACAAAACAACTAACAAAATGTATGAACTCCAATCGAACAGTGCATGTTGTGACCAAATGTTGTGACAAACCGTACACTACTTTATTACCATATACTTTCGCTTAAATCTTGAAGCTGGACGATTTTAATACGCATTGTTTACTTTTCAAAGTTTTCAACAATGAAACTGCAATGTGACTACGCAAGCTAATGATCAAAATCTGATAATTAAAACATCGCTGCGTGTGTGAAAGATGGGTTCGCGGAAAAAAATGCCGAGATGTTATTTTTTGCCGACCTAAATCTACACATATCGCTTTGCAGGTCGGCATTAGTTCGGCATTGCCGAATGCCGACCTGAGTTTCAAGGACTGCAAGTATAGATTGAAGTTCACAAATATCTGTTTCTACGATTTTCTCCACAAAACCAGCCACCCTCTCACTGCAAAATTATATATGATTGATCTTTAACAATGTCTTGATTTGAACAAGTTCAGCAGAAGTCAGAAGTGTACCTTGTTTTCTTCATTTGTTTGTGCCAGTCGTTGTAATAAGACATCTTGTTGTCCTACTAGTCTTTTTCCATTACTCTATGAGAAGAATGATTATTTATTCAATCAGTTCATTAATCAGTCTCACTGGAAAAAATTTTGAAAATCCATAGAAGGTC